GAAGCTGAACTCAAGAACTAATTTCTCGAGATCACCATTTCTGACCTAATTCGAGATCCCCATTTCTTTTCTTCCGTTACCTCCTGCACTTGGCTCCAGGGTTCTGTCCATGCCCATCAGGAAGTCCTCAAGCCATCTTGTGCAGTCACCCAGTGAGAAGTAATGGAAGAACATGGTCATATCCTTGTCATTCTCCCATTTTTCCTTCATCTTTCTGGCTCCAGGATGAACCGTTGTCCACATTCTGTTCTCCGAGTCAAAGAGCAGGAAGATCTGTCCATCGAAGCTGAACTGCCAAGATCCACTGCTGTGCCCTTCGGCTTTCTGCTCACAAGACATCCTGGCCTGCAGGGTGAGGGGTTCTGCGCCCACAGAGGAGAGATCAGCTCTTGACACATTTTGAGCCCCCATCCTGTTCCCCTTACAATTTCCAGGCCTTACTCTCTCTGCCACATCCTGGCCTTGCCTCTAGACCTCTTGTAGGGTGAGATGACCTTCCCATCTGTATTTTTCATGAAAACTGTAAATATCTCCAACCTGCCTCTGCATCTGCTCCCTCCTGTCCTGGACCATCTTAAACTTACCCCGGGGTGTGTAATTCCCCAGCTGAATGCCAAGTATTCGCATGCCAAGCATGTCCACCAGCTCTCTCAGGACTGGGTTCTGTTCTTTCCAGGACTTTGTGGCATTTATTTTCTTCCCCAGGAGACTGGCTTGTGTGACTGTCTTGTTGCCACAGTCATAGTGAAGGAAAGTCTTTTGATCCAACTGGCCTTGAACTCGACACCACTGTGGCCCAGGTCTGAACTTAGGGGTGATGGTCACACCATAGCAAAGAGAGTGAGGATCTGTGAAGAAAGACATGTGTGGGCAGGGTGGGCAGAAAAGGACCCCTAGATAGCCCTCTCCATACTGTGACAATAAGAGCACACCTCTGGAGGCCTGGGCTGGCCCAGCAAGGAGTGTTCCCTCCAGAACTGTGGTGTCCACAAGTTTAAGAGTGCTCCCCCTTGCATGAGGAAAAGGAGGAGGAGGAGGTCTCTGCCTGCTGAGAAACCACATGTCCCCAAAGATGTCCCCCTGCCTCTCTGCCCACATCGGTCAACACATGACCTTGCTAGAGAGGTGCCAGGCCTGCTAGATGAGGAAGGGCCTGGATGGCAGAGGATCCTCAGCAGCAGCCCACGTGGACTGAGGGAGGTGGGAGGGAGTGGGGGCTGCCCTTGAGGATGCTGGTGCATGGTGTGATGGAGTGAGGATGGAACCCACTTGGATAAAGCAGAGTTAATTGTCATAGTCACAGGATTTAACATGTTGGCAAAGCCCCTGGTTATGGTGCCCTTCTGCTGTGAGGATGCCTTCCTGAAACCTTGGACAAAGGGATGGTCCACAGAGCAAGAAACAGAAAATCTGAAAATCTAAGGCAGATAGTAGAGGCTCAGAGAAGTGCCCATGCCAGAGGGTTCTGAGTTTGAAAATCCAGGACAATGTCCACCCACTGTGCTCACGGGGAGCCTGGAGGACTCCTATTTACCCAGCATATACTGAAGGCCCCATGAGAAGGCACCAGAATGGGAGGAGGCTCAGGGATGCCTGTTGCTGAAGGCCAGGGTTGGGGGTAGGAGATGCTGTTCCTGAAATGGGCTCCCAGGAGTAATGGGATGAAAAATCCTGAAATAACAGATTTCAGGTGGAGGCTGTCAACTGTCAGGATCAAGGTGGGTGCCGTGATGGAAATGATTAGAGAAGTCCCAGTGTCAGATGGGGACCTCAGCCATACAAAGCTATGCCCATGGCATATAGAACAAAGGTGTCCAAGATCCAAAAGAGATGGAAACCCAACCTTGATACTGCTGGATGTAAATAACTAAAACAAACAAAGATAAAACAAATGATGGATGACCAGGAGGCTGAAAGTAGCCAGTCCATCAAGAACAAGGTTCCTTTGCCCAGTTTTCAGAATTAAGCCACTTCTCAGACCCTAAACCCATTACTAGAAGAAACCAGTTTCCAGTGAGGGAAGGACACTTTAACCCTGCAGCAAGTGGAACAATTCTTTGTGACCTCCTCCAGAGGTATTTATGGCCAACTAGAGTTTGCTGCGAAGGGTGTAGGCACTTACCCCACCTGTGCACCTGGCTGGCTCCCAGACCCTGACACAAGCCTACCATTACAGGCTTCCTTCCAAGAGTGCCTCATTAATCATCAGAGTTCCACAAAGGGACAGGACTAGAAACAGAAATGGAGAGCCCAAAGTCTGCAAAGACCACAGGGCATCCTTCCTCCCTTTCTAGAAAGGGTTTCCTGACCTCCGTCTGCACAGTGACTATTCTCTATGACGCTGGCTCCCCAGTAGGAAGAACAGGCCAGTCTGGGTCCCAAGGGGAAGTGGGCACCTCTACTCACCAGAGTTACCAGGGTCATCCTGGAGGAAATGGTGCTTCCCATCACCCCTGCACAGGTTCTGTGGGGAGCTTGGGCTGTATTTGCTGGGGTGTGTTCTCAGGCAGGAGGTAGAAGGTGCCACGTGGTGTAGGAGGTGGTGAGGGCCCCTTCATGTATAGGGAGACCTCTGGGGTGACCAACTGGGCTGAGGTGGGGAGTGAGAGGATGTGACCTGGGTGGTGGCAGTGGGTGGCGATGGGAGGGGTGGGAAGTGTCTGCTGAGCCCCTGGGTGCACGTGAGTGTCTGCAGGACAGCGCAGGGGAAAATTCAAGGACAGGGAGCCCTGGGGGTGCTGGAGGGTTTGTGTGGTGGGGAGCGGGTGAGAGCAGGCAGGCCTGTGGCTGGTGGGGGTATCTGTGATCCTGTCCCTCTGGAACCCCCTTCATCCCTGTCCTGACCCCAGATCGGGTTCGGGGGCTCTGGTTTCTCGTTCCCGAGGGCGGGTGGGACTGCCGGACTGCACAAGGGATTTCCGCCCCACCTCGCCCTCTGCAGCTCTCTGGCCCCTCCACCCTCCCGAGGTTCCTTTCCAGCCTCCTCTCTGCGCTGCTCCTGGAGGCGGGGAAAAAAGCAGCAGTGGGGAGTGGACCCGGCAAGAAGGAGCGGAGGAGCGGAATTGAGCTGGGGCGCAGTCCGGGGAGATCGCGCCGGTCCTTCCAGAAGCCACATCTGCTCTGAAACTCGCTGCAGCCCACAGCCCCCAGGTTTGGTCCCCGCCCCGCTTAGGCTCCATCCCAGAACTCACCGGCCCTCTCTGCTCGGGACCAGCCTGACAGCTGGAGCAGAAGCGGGAGGCACTGGAGGAACGCGGGGCTGGCGGCCGCTGCCACTGGGGACTGGGAACGCTGAAGACTAGTGACTTGATGGATGGGGAGCCTGGCAGGTGAATCACCTCGGGGACCTAGGTCACTGGCTGTCCCATTGGATCCGAAGCGCAGGGTGCTGGAGAGGCGGGACCCATCGGACCCATTACCCCGGCCGTGCTGGGTGACAGGAATTGCCTGGGAATGCAGTGTGAAAAAAAAGCAGGTCTGGCACCTGTTCTTCCCCGCCCCTCGGAGGAGGCACACTCCCTGAAACACTTTTGGCATTCAGATGTCTACCAGCTAGAGCTCAGCCAAGTCAACTCTACCTCACTGCATATGCACTTACACCAGGCCCCACCCCGAGGCGCTCCATTCTGGCCCCAGCCCGAGCCTCGACAGTTTTGTGGTCACTCCGAAAGACCTGTGGCTCAGCGGGTGTTTTCCCTCTTGGCCGCCCGCCCGTTCCGCGCCCCTCGGCGCTCCATTCTGGCCGCCTGCCCCGACCAAAGCCTCTTTGCACTCCCTTCCAGCCGACCGCGGCGGCGGCTCGTGGTTTCCCTCCTGGGGCCTGGGGCCTGCCCGGGCCCCGAACCCTCATGTAATCATCACAGTATTTTCTTTATTTTTTATTAGCCCAGTGTGGACACCGATGCACAGAAAGGTGAAGAAAATGCACAGCCGTGTTCAGCGGCGACGGGGTCTCCCTGTCCTCGCCTGGACCCGCGACACCCGCCTTCCCTCTCCCTGCGCTGCGGAGAGACCCATTCCCAGCCTTGTGCGCAGCCCCAGGCCGGGTCCCATCCCCCCGGCTGCTCCCCAAATCCCCGGTGGACGCGGTTATAGCCCGGGTAGGTTTGGTTGTTTCTTCGTGACAGTCTCGCTCTGCCGCCCAGGCTGGAGTGCAGCGGCGCAATCTCCATTCGCTGCAACCTCAGCCTTCTAATTCAAGGGATTCTCTTACTTCAGCCTCCGGAGTAGCTGAGACCACAGGTGCGCGCCACCAAGCCCGGCTAATTTGTGTATTTTAGTGGAGGCCGAATTTCATGATGTTCCCCAAGCTGATTTCGGACTCCTGGGCTCAAGTGATGAGCCCGTCTCAGCCTCCCAAATTTCTGAGATGACAGGGGTGAGCCACCCTGCCTGGCTTCGGGCTAGATTTTATTCCAGAAGCACCAGGATTTCGCAGGCTTCAAACAACATATTGTAAACTAAACACTGGTTAAGATGGTAAATTTTATGTTCTACATTTTAACCAAAATTAAACAGCTTTAAAAATTATCTTAAGAATGTGTGTCTTGCTCAGATCTGCGCAATTCGATCGGCAAAAAGACTCTGCTGATTAAAATCGAGGACAGCATTGAGGTCCTTGTCTCTAAAATCACAACCTGTGGGACATCTTGCTGATTTAGAAAGCACATCAGAGAGATTGGCCCTGAGCTCCCCTTAGAACAGCGCCCCCACCACCACCCATACCAGGTGTGGGGAAGGCCCAGGGGGCTCAGCAGAGCAGGTTCATCTGCCCCCATGGTTCCCCGTGGTTCCCAACTGCCAGGGCTTGCTTTTGGCTTGTTCCCCTGGGCAAGGGCCAACCATCCTTCAAAGCTGGGCACAACTACCCCTCCCATGTGTCTCTCATTTTCCCACAAGAAAGAGCACCATCCTGCTCCCTGAGACCAGGATCCACAGAGAGCGCATCTGGATCTCCCTTTGTGATAATTGCTTACACATTCCTTTGCCTGTCTGCTAGAAGTGTGACATCTTTGAGAATGTCCTAGTCTCAAACTCCTGACCTCAGGTGATCCACCTGCCTGGGCCTCCCAAAGTGCTGGGATTACAGGCATGATCCACCATACCAGGTCTGGGCTAGGTTTTATTACAGATGTAGCAGGCAGGGTTTCAGAGGTTCAAATCAACATATTGTACACTAAGCAATTAATCAAGATGGGAATTTTATGTTCTATGTTTTTACCAAAATTAAACAGCTTTGAAAATTATCTTAAAAATTGGTGTCTTACTCCTGCTCCGCCCAATGCAGATTGGCCAAAAGACTCTGCTCATTAAAACCGAGGCCAGCATTAAGGACCTTGACCCTAAAATCTCAACCTGGGAGACACTTGCTGGTTTAGAAAGCTCCTCAGAGAGATCAGCCCTCAGTTCCCAGTTCAGCAGCCGCCCTCGCCCAGGTCCACAGATGGCACAGAGGGCTCAGCAGAGCAGGTTCAAGTGAAAGTTCGTGGTGGTTCCCAACTGCTACTGCAGTTGGGGTGACAGGGCTCATCAAGTCTCAAAACTGTCCAAGTCGGAGTTAAGAATATGTATTCATATGCGTTTGAAATGGGGTAAAGACTCCCTGGAAAGATGAGAAGAATCCAATGAAGTTTCGTCCTGGGCATGTGGCCAATGACAGTGGAGCAGGCAGGGGTTGGGGAGCCTTGCACACATGACTTTTATCGTTTTTATCCTGAAACTGGTGAATATATGGAGGTGAAGTAGTAAGGAGGAGTGGCGCCGGGAGCCCTAGGGATGGTCACCGGGTGGGCTCGCCCTGATCCGTTGTGGACCAAGAGGGTCTGTGGATGCAGAACCCTGGCAGGGGCCCGCGGGCACTGGTTCTAGATATTTACCCAACCATATTGTCGTAGCGGGGATATTGCAGGTGATCGCTGCTTTCAAACACAAATGACTTTCGGGGAAAGTTCCCTCCTGCGGGTTTCACTTTCCACGT